TGTACCACTTGTTTTCCCTGTTGCTGTTAGGCTCCCGAAGGTCTTGAGCAACACGTTTAACACATCATGTACAGTAACGCATTTAGGTGCTAAGCCCTATAGTAGCATCATGACTTTTGGTTTGTTGCTTGGCGTGTAAAAGATCTCCGCGTTTGTGTGCCTCAGCAATGGATGGGAGTTCTGGGACGGGGGAAATGCGCACTCCACTCGTTTCTATCTCTCAGCCTGCTGGGTCACACCAGCAGTTTAGGTTTTCGGGGTTTAGGGTTAAACCCTAAACCCTAAACCCTAAACCCTAAATCCTAAACCCTAAACCCTAAGCCCTAAACCCCAAAACAGCCGAGGAACCGGCGCTCCATTGCCTTCGCGCTGCTTCGGGGAGATGGACCTTTGTCAGAATCATGGGACTCTACCTCGGGTTTACGGTGAAAGTTTAGGGGGGTGCCGCGTTAAACAGGGGACCCCAAAAAGGGACCCTAATTTATTAAATCAGTGTTAGGGATCCTTTTTCCTTTTTGGGTTATGGGCTTTCTTATATAGAAACAAAAAGGATCCTTTTTTCTTCCTAGGGGAACAGGGATTAAGTTCAGAGCACTACCCATATAGCTCGCTTCTCAGGCTCCGTGGTCACCTGGGGCGACTCGCGCTTCGGGGGCCTGAGTCCGCAGCTCCGGGAAGTACTGCAGGTCTGAGCCAATTATAACGGTTTTGGGTTTAGGGTTTAGGGTTTAGGATTTAAGGGTTTAGGGTAACTGTACTTATAACTGTTACTAAGTACCCAAGTACCTCCAAGTACTGCAGGTCTGCCCCAGCTCGGGGGCCTTCGCCGCCCTGCGCGCAGACGGCTCTGTGGTGGCTTGGGGAAGCCCGGAGTGTGGCGGGATCAGCAGCAGTGTGCCTTGGTACCCCAGTGGACCCTTTTTCCTTTTTTTTGGGTTCAAGGTTCCTTGTAAGTAGCTAACCCCCAAAAAAGGGTGCCCTTAATTGGAATATGGTTCCTGGGCTACCAAGGTGCAGGGGCAGCTGCAGCGGGTGCGCCGCCTCGAGGCGAGGGGACGCGCCTTTGCCGCCATCCGCTCGGATGGCACCGTCGTGACCTGGGGCTCGCCCGAAGACGGCGGCGACTGCAGCGGCTTCGTAGTAGAGTAGGTAACCTTGAACCTTTTTGGAGTACCCGAATCCCTACAAAATCCCAAAGGTTATATAACTTATAACCTCTAAATCCCCCATACTGGACACCTAAGGCGGGGTCCAAGATCAACTCCAGGGAGTGACTTGTGTGCGGGGCTCCTCCAGCGGCGCCTTCGCGGCCATCCGAAAAGATGGGACGGTGGTCACTTGGGGGAAGGCGTCCTTTGGTGGGGACAGTGGTTCTGTTCAGGAGAAGCTGAGGGATGTGTTGGACATCAGTGCAACTGGAGGTGCCTTTGCAGCGGTCCGTGCAGATGGGAGACTGGTGGTCTGGGGAAACCCAGACTATGGCTGCGACGCGGCTGCTGCAGACAGGCTTCGGCACGTCTCGAAAGTGGTACCCTCTGCTGGAGCATTTGCAGTCTTGCGGAGCGATGGCACTGTGGCAACCATTGGCCGCGCGGACTGTGAAAGGCGTGGCGCTGACAAAAGGGAGTTTGCCGAAGGCACCTGCATCGAGCAGATCACTGCATCTGGCGGTGCCTTCGCAGCGATTGAGGCCGATGGCCGTGTGCTGACTTGGGGTGTCTCCGACTCTGGTGGTGACAGCGCGCAAGTGCAGGCTGGGCTATCGGGCCCTAGAATCCCCATAATCAACCCTCTTGGGTGCCCTTGTTAAGGGGTTCAAACCCTAAACCCTAAACCCTAAACCCTAAACCCTAAACCCTAAACCCTAATCCCTAAACCCTAAACCCTAAACCCTAAACCCTAAACCCTAAACCCTAAACCCTACACCCTACACCCTAAACCCTACACCCTTAGCCCGTCCTGGGTGCAGGATCAGCTGGTGGGCGTGTGCCAGATATCTGCCACAGCAGGGGCCTTCGCTGCGCTGCGCTCGGATGGCCATGTGGTGACCTGGGGCCAGGCTGAGGCAGGTGGCCAGCGCCTTGTTTGCCTAGCCCTAAACCCTAAACCCTAAACCCTAAACGCTAAACCCTAAACCCTAAACCCTAAACCCTAAACCCTAAACCCTAAACCCTAAACCCTAAACCCTAAACCCTAAACCCTAAGCCCTAAGCCCTAAGCCCTAAACCCTAAACCCTAAACCCTAAGCCCTAAACCCTAAACCCCAAACCCACACGCGCATGCGAGCGGGGAAGACCTCCCAGGAGCCAGCATGTGTGCCAGCAGCTGACAGGGGTGCGCGAACTTGGCGCCTCCTTCCGCGCGTTTGCGGCCATCCGCAGTGACTTAGAGTACCCTCACAGTTAGGGTTTAGGGTTCAGGGTTGAGGGCTTAGGGTTTAGGGTTCACTTTACACTTTTTCGGATACCATATTCCCCCATAGAACTGAAAGTGTACACTGTTTGAAGGCTCCTAAACTCTAAACCCTAAACCCTAAACCCGAAACCCAGCAACTAAGGTGATGGTCGCGTGGTGACCTGGGGCGATCCCCACTACGGACGCTAAGCAGGAACACCCAGAGAGCCCAATGCCCCTTAATTAAGGAGTTATAAAGGCCGGTGGCCTCTTTATCTGTTACCCTTATACCTTTATATGGCCCTAGATACCCTACTAAGACCCCCAATATATGCCCCTATTACTATAAAACAGAAACCCTACTTAAAGAGACCAGCAACCCATATAAGTTACACCTTAAATCACAGTAGGGATCCCTACTATGATTTAAGGTATACCCCTTAAGTAAGGAGTTATACCTTAAATCACAGTAGGGATCCCTAGTATGGATTTAAGGCATAATTCCTTAAGGGGCATTGGGCTCTTTTGGGCAGCTTTGGGAGGGTCTCCGGGGTTGAGGCCATGGGATAAGGCGGCAGCCTGCAGGTGGGCGAGTGCTTGCTCTTGCTGGACTCCCAAAGACCCATAGGAATGTTCCATTAGTCACCCAAACAAGGTTCGAAAGCCAGTTCTCATCAACATGGCCGCATTCCCGCATTTCTCAATGGAACATAAACTAGGACCCAGAGTTGGCCCTTATGCCTTTTTTGCGGGGTTTAGGTTCCCTTAAAAGCCCCTTGAAACCAAACAGGGGTTTCTCCTGGGTCTAGTAGGGAAAGTGGAGGCCTTAGAAATGTAGGTTGCTCCTGTGTGTTCTTTGGTGCTTTTTTGAGTCAGGGTGTAGGGTGTAGCGTGTAGGGTTTAGGGCTTAGCGTTTAGGGTGCAGGGCTTTGAGGCTTTGAGGCTTTGAGGCTTTGAGGCTTTGAGGCTTTGAGGCTTTGAGGCTTTGAGGCTTTGAGGCTTTGAGGCTTTGAGGCTTTGAGGCTTTGAGGCTTTGAGGCTTTGAGGCTTTGAGGCTTTGAGGCTTTGAGGCTTTGAGGCTTTGAGGCTTTGAGGCTTTGAGGCTTTGAGGCTTTGAGGCTTTGAGGCTTTGAGGCTTTGAGGCTTTGAGGCTTTGAGGCTTTGAGGCTTTGAGGCTTTGAGGCTTTGAGGTTGGCGGTTGTAGAACGGAGGTTCTACATGCCGCTCTTGCAAACGAACTGCTTACTGCCTCTAAACCCTGACACCTAAACCTCAAACCCCAAACCCTAAACCCTAAACCCTAAACCCTAAACCCTAAGCCCTAAGCCCTAAGCCCTAAACCCTAAACCCTAAACCCTAAACCCTTCCATGTACCTGTATATGGTATATACTTCGACCTTAAAGAGTTCCCAGATAGTAGCTTTAGGAACCAAGTATATACTATATAGCACCCTGAACTCTACACCCTAGACCCTAAACCCTCAACCCTACTCTCTATATGTTCTTGGAACCCCTACGGTTCGATACGACAGCTTTTGTATATCAAAAACGGGCCATCAAGATTGCAATCCAAAAAGGGTGTTCCAAGAACGGTTAGGGTTTAGGGTTTAGGGTTGTATGGTTTAGTGTTTAGGGGGTCGGGGAGATTTTCGCCCTTTGTTATTCTCTTCTTTTAGGGATGAGGTTCCCTTATAAGCCCCTTTAAAGCAATGGCACCCTTGTCATTGCTAAGTTACTCTTGGGTCCAGTCATGCGTTGTTCACTCTCTTTGATAGTGGGTTTTGGCGTGGGTTGAGGTTGATACTAGGGTCCGGGCCCGACTTGAGGTTTAGGGTTTAGGGTCTATAGAGGTGGGGGTTTAGGGTTTGGGGTTTAGGCTTTAGGGTTTAGGGTTTGGGGTTGAGGGATTAGGGGTTTAGGGTTGGGTTCAGAGTTTAGCTAAGGAGGGGACGGCAGCGCTAGATGCGAGCAGCTTCAGAATGTGGACGACTTTCGCCGCCCACCGCTCGACACAGATCAGGGCTTAAAACTGCACCCTGCTGAGGGTCTAGGGTTTAGGGTTTAGGATTTAGGGTTTAGGGTTTAGGGTTTAGGCGTTGAGCCCTCATCCATAAGGCCCTAAACCCCAATTTACCCTCAACAACCCACTCAGAACTCTCCTCCTAAACACCGTTTTAGGTCAAAGAAGCCAAGTTCAGGGTTTAGGGATCAGGGTTGAGGGTCGTACTGCGGGTCTGGCCTTTTGATCAGCCAGACTGACTCCCTTTTTCAGGGCTCTTGTCCCATGGTCCATCCCTTTCCCCTTTCAGGCCTTTGGAACAACCTCCGAACTTGAATGCCCCAAAACCCTAAACCCCTAAACCCCTAAACCCCTAAACCCCTAAACCCCTAAACCCCTAAAACCCCTAAACCCCTAAACCCCTAAACCCGTAAGCCCCTAAACCCTAAACCCCTAAAACCCCTAGACCCCTAAAACCCCTAAACGCGACCAAAAACCCCTAAAACCCTGAATCCCTAAACCCTAAACCCTAAACCCTAAACCGTAAGCCCTAAACCCTAAACCCTAAGCCCCTAAACCCCTAAACCCTGAGCCCTACACACGCCAGGCCTCTGGCTCTTGGCGCTCAAGAGCTGCGAAGCGTGGTGAGGCCATCGCAGGCGACTGGGAACGCAGCTTTTACCCTTTGAGTTTAGGGTTTAGGGATTAGGGTTTAGGGTTTAGGGTTTTAGGGATTAGGGTTCAGGGTTTAGGGCTTTTTGCTTGTTTCCTTTCTCCAAATGTTTTGGATTGTTTTAAAAAGGTCTTTCATCGCTTTTAAGGGTAATTTGCTTTACTTACTTAAACTTAAGTTTTTTGTTTCTATTTTAAACGGTTGTTTTATAAGAGACTTCCGACTCCCCAAACCACCCTCTAGCCCATTTGCAAGGGTCTGATTCCCGGAAATAAATGTAGGCGGTTTAGGGTTTTGAGTTGAGGTTTAAAGTTCTGGGCCTAGGGTTTAGGGAGTTAAGCACTCTAACCCTCAAAGACCCCCAAGCCACACCGCGAAGGACCCAGCACCCACAAGGGAACCGCCAGCAGTGGTGGCCCAAGTGGCTCGGACGCCAGGCCGGCAAGGAAGTTGTGTGCGGGTGGTGTCCGTGTGTACTTCCCGGGGTCCATTGAGTGTCGGGTTTAGGGTTTAGGGTTTAGGGTTTGGGGTTTAGGGTTTAGGGTTTAGGGTTTAGGGTTTAGGGTTTAGGGAGGCTTAGTAGGGTTTAGGGTTTAGGGCAGGAGCCTAGTTCCAATACGATTTCCTTAAAAATAACCCTGGGGATATCATAGCAATTACAAGCTTCCCCAAAAATAGTTGAATGGGCCACTTTTTTTCGGTGGCACTTCCCATGGTGGCATTACAGAAATTATCTGGTAGTTGCCGGGGGGGGGGGGTTCTGGGGGCAAACTTTGAAGATTCAGGCTTTGGGTTTTTGGTTCAATTTGCGCAATATTGTCGGATCACGCCAGTGCAGGATGGCCTGAATAGCATCCGGACTGCTTGCGAAATTGGAGGGGGCCACACTGAGCAGTATACAGTTCGAAACAGATTGCCCTAAACCGTAAACTTTCAACCCTGAACCCTAATTCCTGAGTCGATGCTTCAGACTGTAGATGGGGCAGAGAGAATGAAGATTATAGGCGGACCACGGTAATGTTGCCTCTGTCAAAACTAGAAGCCTAAACCCGAAACCCTAAACCCGAACCCCTAACCCTTAAACCCGAAACCCCACACCCGAAACCCTAAACCCTACACCCCGAACCCCTGGACTCAAGGCTGTCTTGTTCTGTTTGAGGGTTGTGCCCTTGGGTTTTACAGGGTATATAAGGGGTATATATAAATCTAAATATAAGTTTAAATATAAAAAGAATATATGTATATATATATATATATGTGAGCATGTAACTACCCTTAGAGTTAGGGGTTCCGGATAACCCTTAACCCTAAGCTCTACACCCTACAACCTAACCCCTAAACCCTAAACCCTAAACCCCAAACCCCTAAGAGTTCAGGGTCTTGCAAAACTGACCAGGCTCCTTGGCCTCCAGCGTGCCCTCACGGGAGAGGCGGCCGACGGGGGCAAGGGGAGGGGGATGTGGAGGGGGCCGGATGTTCCCCTCTTAAACTAGCAGTCCTTCATAGGAATTCTAATACGGGGAAACTGCAGTCCCCATTATAAGGCTGTTAGTCCAGGTGGAACACTAGTCCAAGGCGGAACATCCCATCCTTCTTAGGGTAGTTACACGGTCCCTTAGTATGGGTCCTTCAAAGGGGAAAGGGTACCCCTTAGATACCCCTTATACACCCTGTACAAATGAAAGGCCCATACTCAGAACCCTTTCAAGGAGGTAAGGGACCACATAAAGGGCCCATGAAACTACCCTGAGAAACCTCGAACCCTTAAAAGCCCTAAGGTTCGAAACCTCAACGTTCGTTCCCCCCGGGAGGCTAGTTCAACGGCTTGGCGAGGCCCTTGCAGACGCGGAGGAACCGGGTTTAGAGTGACTGTTGGGATTTTGGTGTCCATGGTGGTTTAGGGTCTAGGGTTTAGGGTTTAGGGTTTAGGGTTTAGGGTTTAGGGTTTAGGGTTGAATATTATTGGCTCTTGCTGTTGCTTGTTCTGCTTAACCAGTCAGGGTGGAGTTGTCTAGAAGCAGGTGCAGGAATTGCGTGATGAGGACGGGGGTGAGTACGGATGGCACGAAGAGACAAGGACTTGAGCAGGCAAGCAATCAAGCAAGTGAGCCAGGGAATAACCTGAAACGATACAAGCTCTGGCATCTTAAACCCTAAACCCTAAGCCCTAAACCCTAAGCCCTAAACCCTAAACCCTAAACCCTAAACCCTTCACCCTAAGTTGGCTGTCGCACGTGCGTATCCCCATAGTCCAGCGCCCGGGAGGGACCACATGTTTTCACGGCCGCCCCTTGCATGGCCACCCAGGGTTTAGGGTTTAGGGTTTAGGGTTTAGGGTTTAGGGTTTAGGGTTTAGGGTTTAGGGTTTAGGGTTTGCCCCAAGACTTTCTGCACTGCTTCCCTCGGACTCGGTGCTCGTGTGCTCGTGGAGTCAAGAGGTTTTGCTCAGCCCTGGGTGTGTCGGTGCCCTCCCTTGCTGGTTCTTAGTAGGGAATGTAGGAAATAGGGTACCTGAAGTCCCCTCTCTTGCCCTTTGAGGGAGAGGGATGCTACCTACCGTGGGCCCTCAATAAATAACCCGAAACCCTAAACCCTAAACCCTGAACCCTAAACCTTAAACCCTAAACCCTAAACCCTAAACCCTAAACCCTAAACCCTAAACCCTAAACCCTAAACCCGGAACCCTCTCTCTGCTGATCGGGCTGGGCTGTGACAAAGCCCCTGCGCAGGAAGTGGAGATCCCAACTCGGCAGACGACGCCCTCGGGCGCAGTGGCGGGGGCCTTGAGACAGTTTAAGGTTTAGGGCTTAGGATTCAGGCTTTTCGGGTTTGGGGTTTAGGGAAAAAGGGTTTAGGGTTTAGGGCTGAAAAGGGTTTAGGGTTTAGGGTTCAGGGTTCAGGGTCTAGGGAAAACCCTTAGGGTGTAGGGGGTTCGGGGTAATTAGTTACATGGGACCTTCATCTCTTCAAAGGGTTCTGAAGTACGGGCCCTCGGGTTGTGCAGGGTCTATATGGGGTATATAGGAGGTCCCCTTTTCAGGGCCCATGCGAAGGAAGGGACCATGTAACTACCCCAAGATGAGTTGATGGGCTCACTGTTCCACCCGGGCCATGCGTGTTTTGCTTGGAGGTTCATGGTACTTAGTAGCTAATTACAACTGCATTCATAACCCACTTATAAGCCCCTTAAGTGCCCTAATATGGTTATAAGTACAGTGTACAGTTATAATCAGTTGCGAAGTACCATGAACCTCCAAGTGGAGGATTTGCAGTCACCTTAAGAGGGTGCAGGGGCTGCATGGCATTTTGCAGACGGCGGGATCGACCACGTATATCGTTCTTACATGGCTCATCTCAATCCCGGAGGATACATATGAAGCAGGGTGTATATTACTGTATTAGGTGAGTGTATATAAGGTTCCTTTTTGGTATTGGTGAGTGTATACCTTGGGTTATAAACCCTGCTTCATATTGGGCCGGGGCGTAGTTGGCTTGCACTCCGCCCGGAACGCCTGCAGCAAGCCGAAATCTCAACGTCGCACTCCCAGCCGCAGCCCTCCAAGCTGTTCTAAGCCGTATAGGGTTTAGGGCTTTGCAGTTGATTAGGATTTGCTTCAGGAGCCCCGAAAAGAACACAGTCAGTTCTCCCTGAAAGGTGCCGAGACCCTCAGTTGTTCTCCACCCCCTCTGCCTCGCACGAGTGAAGGGCGCGGTTGTGGGCTTTAGGCTTTAGGGTTTGAGGGTTTCGGATTTACGGTTTAGGAAGTACCCCTGCTCACGGCTGCATTCATCACGAAGCCAAGCTAGAGACTCTGGTGCCAAGCCCCATCCTAAAAACTGGGACTCAAAGTAGGCCTTTATTTTGAAGAGTACAACCCTAAACCCTAAACCCTAAACCCTAAACCCTAAACCCTAAACCCTAAACCCTAAACCCTAAACCCTAAACCCTAAACCCTAAACCCTAAACCCTAAACCCTAAACCCTAAACCCTAAACCCTAAACCACCCTAAACCCTAAACCCTAAACCCTAAACCCTAAACCCTAAACCCTAAACCCTAAACCCTAAACCCTAAACCCTAAACCCTAAACCCTAAACCCTAAACCCTAAACCCTAAACCCTAACCTAAACCCTAAACCCTAAACCCTAAACCCTAAACCCTAAACCCTAAACCCTAAACCCTAAACCCTAAACCCTAAACCCTAAACCCTATAACCCTATAACCCTATAACCCTATAACCCTATAACCCTATAACCCTATAACCCTATAACCCTATAACCCTATAACCCTATAACCCAAACCCATACCTCTATGCTTCGAATCGAAAAGGAAAATACAAGGAAGGATTTTACCATCCCCTCAATGTCTTCTGGGTTTAGGGTTTAGGGTTCAAAGGGGGTATGTCCACGGGTATGCTGAACATTTCTTGGATTCTTCCTTTATCAGGGGGGTTCCCTTGCAAGCCCCTTCAAACCAAGAAAAGGGTACCCTTCATTATTCCTAGGTTACTCCTTGGCTTTGTCATAGTTGGGTACCACTTTACATTCTTATGGGAACTTAAACCCAATAAGGAATAGAAATTTCATTTTTTTAATATTATCCCAACCATGAACTAGTTGCCTCTAGAACGTAGAACGTCAGCCTGCGGCTGAGGATGCCTCCCGCATCACCACTGCCGCGCACTTCATGTCGGAGGCAGCTCCTGCCACCGGGGGGTTTGGAGATGAAAGGTGTCTTTTTGTAAACTACGGTGTAGGGTTTAGGGTTTAGGGTTTAGGGTTTGGGGTTTAGGGTTAGGGGTTTAGGGTTCAGGGGTCCTCGTCTCAGTGATTGTAGCATCATATTGCAAGGCAGGTGCAATTGGGGGAGCGAAGGGGGGTTCGGGACCCAAAAAGGACATAAGCACAAGCATTTTATAGGGCTATCCCTACCTTATTGGGCTTCTTTATAAGGGGGTTTAGATGGGATATCCCTATCCTAATTTTTGCTTATGTGCTTTTTGGGGGCCCTAGGGGGGGTGGGGGGGGGGGGGGGGGGGGGGGGGGGGGGGGGGGGGGGGGGCTATTTTTCCAGCAACCTTCCGTCGGGCTTGTGGCGGAAAGGCTCTGTGTGCAGGATGCCGTCCGGGGAGCTGCATGCTTAGGGGGGTTTAGGGTTTAGGGTTTAGGGTTTAGGGTTTAGGGTTTAGGGTTTAGGGTTTAGGGTCTGCTAAGTACGACACTTCAAGAAATGCGAACCATCTCGGGAGCTGATGGTGGCAAGACTTGCGAATACAACAGCCGAGAAGCTAAACCTCAAGCACGGCAACGCCGAAACCTCAACTAGGACCCGGTGCAGGCCCTTATTCCCTTTTTGGGGGGTTTAGGTTCCTCTTGTAAACCCCTTTAAACCGAAAAGGGCACTCGTTTTATTCCTACTTGCAGGTTACTCGTGGGCCTAGTCAAAAAGCTGAACCCGATCGCAACCTCACCAGACCTACAGCACCCTAGGTGTTCTGGCTTAGGGCCTGAGAGGGAGAGGTTTCTTCAGAACCAGACGCCCCCGCTCTAAACCCTACCTAAACCCTAAACCCGCATCCCGAAAGTAAACCCTAGTGCTCGAGGAAATCCCGCTGGCTTTGCCCGCTCAGCCAGCAGCACCACCACTTGCCGCTTCCGCCCCTGGGCAAGTTTAGGGTTTAGGGTTTAGGGTTTAGGGTTTAGGGTTTAGGGAGGCTTGCGGTTTTGCACGGGCCGGCTCGCTCAGTTATGGTCCCTGTGTGGGTACCTACAGCAAGATAAGGCTCCGCATACTGCTCTCTTCTTCTAATGGTTGAAAACAGGAAGCAAATGAATCCTGGGATCTTTCGCTGGAAGCGCCGAAAGAACTGCTTATTGCAGGGAAGTTGCAATGCTTTGCGCATATGTGGCTGGAACCGGGCTTGCAATCACTGGCATGGGAGTTCGTCTAAACCCTAAATCCTAAACCCTAAACCCTAAACCCTAAACCCTAAACCCTAAACCCTAAACCCTAAACCCTAAACCCTAAACCCTAAGCGCATGAAGATGCCAGGCAAGTGGCTGAAGAGTATTGGTATGAACAGGTAACCTGCAGGATGTTCTGCGAGGAACACGCCCAAAGAGCCCCAATACACCTTAATTAAGGAGTATACCTTACATTACATCATTTTAGGCTCCAACTTATGATTTACGGTATACTCCTTTTAACTTAGAAGCTGAGTGAGTGCACTTTACACTTTTTGGGCTACTATAATCCCCTCTAGAGAACTGAAAGTGTGCACTTTTTGGGGGCTTATGAACTCAGCAACTTAGTTAATTAAGGGGTGTTGGGCTCTTTGGGGATCTCGCCGTCTGCGTGGGGCCATGTGGAAGATCTCCTGCTTCTCCGCGTCGTCTTGAAGACCGTGGCCCGGATCTTCTGCGATCCCCCCCCCCCTCCCCCCCAAAGGTTTAGGGTTTAATTACGGTTTAGGGATTAGGGTTCAGGGATTAGGGTTTAGAGGGTTTAGGGTTTAGGGTTCAGGGTGTAGAATATATCATAAGCTACAATAGGGGTTAGGATTAAGGGTTTAGGGTTTAACTTGTTGAGCCTGGTTTTGTGTGGCCAAGGAGGAGCAACACACCCTACACCCTACACCCTAAACCCTAAACCCTAAACCCTACACCCTACACCCTACACCCTACACCCTAAACCCTAAACCCTAAACCCTCAACCCTAAACCCTCACCCTGTTTTTGTCATGGCCCAGGGGAGCAACACCACGCTCGCGGGCGGTGCCGAAAGTGACATCACGGAGGCCAGGGGTAGGAAGTTGAGGGCTTAGGGTTTAGGGTTTAGGGTGTAGGGTTTAGGGTTTAGGGTTTAGGATTTAGGGCTTAGGGTTTAGGGTTCAGGGTTCAGGGTTTGGGGTTCAAGGTTTAGGGGGTAGGCAGTTGAGGGTTCAGTGTGTCTAAGGGAAGTTACATGGTCCCTTAACAATAGGGTTTAGGGTTTAGGGTGGCCTGCCGAAGTGCGTGACTCTCGGGAAATGGCTGGGGGTATAGGGTTTACAAAATTTGTAGGGTTTATAGGGTTTATAGGGTTTATAGGGGTTTACAGGGTTTGCCGTGTTTATAGGATTTATAGGGTAGGGTTTTTAGGGTTCAGGGTTTAGGGTGTCAGGTTTACAGGGTTGAGGGTTGAGGTTGTAGGGTTTATAGTTTAGGGTTTAGGGTGTAGGCTTCCGCTACGAGGCCATGCTCTGGGGCCTTGCTGCTTCTAGTAGCGGGCTGTGGCGGGCTGTCACGGAACTAAGGTCTGTAGAACGGTTCAGGCCCAAAGGCTTGCATTTAGATTGAACGTCCCTAACCCTAAACCCTAAACCCTCAACCCTAAACCCTAAACCCTGAAGCCTAAACCCTCAACCCTTCAGATCGAGACGTGGTCGATTGGCGACTACCGAAGGCGCTCCTGCCTGGGCGACCCTTTTTGAGTTGCGGGATCCTATACCCCAAGCCCTAGGCCCTAAGCCCTAAACCCCAAACCCCAAACCCCAAACCCTAAACCCCAAACCCTAAACCCTAACTACCCCGTACGCAACATTTGGCCTAAAAAAAGAGTCTGGGGTAGGGGCTCAGTTTCCAACGACCCCAATACTCTGTAATTCTTAGTAGCTGAATGAGCACACTTTACACTTTTTGGGATACTATAATCCCCTATCATATACTACAGAACTGAAAGTGTACACTTTGTGGGGGCTTATGGACTCAGCAACTAAGATTTGAAGAATCTAACTGTGCTCAGTACTCATGTGAGGATCCCCCATTGTAACTTAACGTCTGTTCCCTGATGACGCTGTCTTGGACCCTAGACCCCATCAACCCTATACAAAAGCTATACACCTATAAAACCTATAGAACCTATCAACCCGACAAACCCTAAAACCCGACAAAGCCTATAAACCCCTTAAAACCCCAACCCTATAAACCCTATAAGCCCTAGAAGCCCCATAAGCCTTAATAAGGCTAGGTGGGAGTGGATGGGGGGGGGGTTAGTGGGAGGGGGTTAGGTGGGAGTTGGTAGGTGGGAGGGGGTTAGGTGGGAGTGGATGGTGGGAGGTGTCAGTTGGTGGGGGGGTTGGGGTGGGGAGGGGGGGTAGTAGGTGAGGGGGTTGGAGGGGGGAAGGTGGGAGGGAGGCAGGTGGGGGGGGTCGGCGGAAGTGTGTTGCTTGGTGGGAGGGTTGAGGGGGGTAGGTGGGGAGGGGGTTAGGTGGGAGGATGGGGTGGGGGGTAGGGGGGGTAGGAGGGGGTTGTGGGGAGGGGGGTAGGTGGGGGTTGGGAGCGGTTAGATGGGAGTTGGGGGGTGATGGGAAGTTAGGTGGGAGGGGGTTGGGCGGGAGTTTGGAGGGGGGTGTGGGGGGGGCTCGGTGGGGGTAGGTGGGAGGGGGCGGGAGTGGTGGGAGGTTTGGGGGGGAGGGGGAGGGGGGGGGTGGGGGTGGGGGCGTGTGCAGCGATGCCGCGGTACGGCGCGGCGTGTGTGCGATACTACCGGTTCGGTATGCGGTGCGTTGCGGTTTGCGATATTTGTATTGTTGAAACAGCCCTGCTTATACACCCTATAAATAAACTCTTGCTCTCGGTGGAGAAGACCAGAGGAGATGATCGTGCATTACGACAAGGTCGTGCAGGAGTTTGAGGTCAGCAACGACCTGCGCGCTTTTGTGAAGGTCGTTCCCTCCATCGAGCACGCGTGGTGCTACGATGATGACTTCTCTGCGGGGCTCTATCTACAGGACCAACACCTCGTGTGTGACCTGCTCATCACCCCCAAACGATGCACTGTCTGCCGTAGCAGAACGGCATACCACTCGGTTTGGTGCACGCAGCTCTTACTCCACTCAGAATGAGCGCATCGTGTGATTTTTTATAGCACTCTTTGTGTTGTGGGTTATATGGTTGTTGGCCAACAGAGGTTTGTTGTATTTGTAGGATAATGTCGAGACCCTGTTCACCCAAAGGTTTGAAGGCCCTAAACCGTTGCAACTTTCAACCTGTATGGTTTAGGGTTTAGGGTTTAGGGTGTAGGGTTTAGGGTTTAGGGTTTAGGGTGCATCAACCCTGAACCCTACATCCTCGCAGCCCAAACCGTTTCCTGTCTTGCGCCCTGATCTGCAGCGGCCAGGGTCCATTTCCCCGCGTCGATTGAGGCGCGCCCTGTCTGGGGGGTTTCGAATGGTTTGGCACCGACCAACCCTAAACCCTATCCCAACCCGTAAACCCTAAACCCTAAAGCCTAAACCCTCAGCCCTGATCCCGAATCCCTAAACCCTAAACCTTGAACCCTAAGGAGTTGGGTTTATGGTAGTTAGTCTGCCGACAAAACCCTTGCTGGGCCTTAGAGCCTGAGGGTTTGCACTGTAGAGCTCCTGAACCCCAAAAAACCCAAGTAGGATTCTATGTCAACCTTCCTTGTTTTTGAATTGGGTTTAGGGTTTAGGGTTTAGGGTTTAGGGTTTAGGGTTTAGGGTTTAGGGTTCAGGGTTTAGGGTTCAGGGTTTAGGGTTTAGGGTTTACGGTTCAGGGGTTTTCCTCCTCAGCCCTCAAACCTCACCTCTGCGGGGAGTCGCGGCGAATCCCATGCAGGCTGGATTGGCCCAGCAGCGCCCCCAGTCTCGCTGAACAGTTGTGTTGGCTACGTTTTGGGCTTAAGTTTCCAGATATCCGTTTAGAAGGGCTTAGGGTTTAGGGTTTAGGGTTTAGAGTGTAATGGAACAATGCCTCTGAAGTGCCTGCAGCGCAGGAAGGATCATAAGGAGCCCCCCAAAAGCCCAAAAAGCCAGGGCCCGAGAAATTAATCTCTTCAAGCCTACCTGGAGATCCTAATTTCCTAGATTCACACTCAATAGGAACATTGAAGAAACGTTAAAATGCTTGAAAAACAAGGCCTCCAGCACGTCCCACTCTCTAGAAAAAACAAATAGGAATTACAGGGGAAGTTTTTACAAGTTATTGCAAAACTGGCGCCCCAAAAAAGCATCCGACAGGGCCTCACTCCTGTGCAGGCTTTGAGGTTGAGTGTTTCTGTGAGGTTTAGGGTTCATTGCCTAGGGTTGAGGGTTGAAGGGCTTAATTCGGAGAAAAAAATAGGGTGTCTTTGGGGCCTCTTTCAGGCCTGGTGGGTTTTGGGAGGCTTTACTGTTGGCTAACTCAGGATTTTGGGCGGTTTTCGGTTTACAGGGCTGAACCCTAAACCCTAGACCCTAAACCCTAAACCCTAAACCCTAAACCCTAAACCCTAAACCCTAAACCCTAAACTCTAAACCCAAAACCCTGCATCGCCTCTGCCCCAAGTTATGAGGGTAGCTTTTGCCCCGCGCCTGACGCTGCGCCGGCTCTCCGCACTGGGAGGCAGCGGAGATGGGGAGATGTCCGTTTGATGCTTGTAAAGTTGTTCCTGAACCCTAAACCCTAAACCCTAAACCCTAAACCCTAAACCCTAAACCCCAAACCCCAAACCCCAAACCCTAAACCCTAAACCCGGCCCTTCTTAGTTAGGGGTACCCAAAACGGAGCCATAATCTAGAGAACTGACCACACGTGTTTTTTCTGCTGCGCCGCAGCCTTCAAGCAAGAAGTGCCAGAAGAAGGCGGACCGAGATAGGGCGTGAGGCTCGTGCCATGGACACAGAGCTGGTGGCGGGGCGCTACCTGTATCAGGAGGCAGCAGCCCAATGCACCTTTGAGATCCTGGGTAGCCCAGCGGTACCCCTTGTCTCTTTCTTTGTCTCTGGGTTCCCTTATGAAGTAACCCCGCCAAAAAAAGGGTGCCCCTTTCTGATCGTATGGTTACTGGGCTAGTAAGGATCGTATGGCAGGAGTCCCGCTCTCAATATCTTTTCTCACAGGCGGTCGATGGCCGGGAGCCGCGCACGGGTGTGCTGCGGCGCTCCGAAGCCAGCGAGCCTTGGGAGGCCTCCGTCTACGGCACTTCGGGAGCGGCGAAGGTGGACTGGAAACTGCAGCCACTTGCGGCGGCTCTGCAAATCGAGCGTTCCGATGGGTTCCATTGCCGGGCTGAGAGGCTGCAAGAGTCCGACGAATGGGATGCCATCGTGAAGCAGCGGGTGGAGGTTGCAGAAGTGATGTGCATCAACGCCGCACCCGGCAGCGGCAAGAGCACTGTACTGAGAGAGTGGTGCCGAGGTAGGCCGGACAACAACATCCTAGTTGTGGCTTTCAACCGGGCTATTTCTGAGCAGCTGAGGGCAAACTTCGCGGAGCTCAGAAACGTAGCGGTGAAGACCATCCATGCGGTGGCGTATGAAGCCACGAGGCACATCCACCACAATCGGGTGGGTGACGTATCAAGAACGGAGCTCAAGAATTTCCTTGGGTGCCAACACTGGGACGAGGTAGAAATCCAGAAGAAGTGGTTGACAGACTTCTGCGCATCCGCCGAGGATCACTTACCTGGCCGCCCGGATGCACGGACACGGCAGCGACACGCAACGCTCTGGGAGCACTTCAGCTCGGGCAGGTGGGAGTATGGGCAACAAGACCGGGGCTCAGAGTAGGCCTTCATTCCCGTTGTTTAGGGCTTAGGTTCCCTTACAAGGCCCTTTAAGGCGAAAAGGGCACCCTTGCTATTCCTAGGTTACTCTTGTGTCTAGAATATCTTCAAAACCCTGAGCTTGAATTGCACATGAGACCCATTTTCTTTCTTTCTTCAGGATGGTCATTAATTGGTGTTGTTGTTTTAGTTGTTTTACTAATTTTGCTACTACTTGCTTCGCCGTGGCCGGAGGCAGCATATCGCACATGTGAGAAACGTGTGGACCCGGAAATTCCGCCCCGAACGATCTAGGGCTTAGAATACCCATAGAGTTCACCCTAAACCCGAAACCCTAAACCCTAAACCCTAAACCCTGAATAAGGGCCCTCAGCAGTGTGGGAGGTGCTCCTTCAACGTCCCCCATGACGTGTACTTGAAGCTCTTCCAGCTGGACCCGTCTCTTCGAGCCAGAGCCTTTGCAGACTACGACACCCTTGTCCCTTCGGGATACCTGGGAATGATTTTGAGTTTTTGTCCCTTAGGGATACATCGGAATGCTTTTTACATTTTGGGGTACTAGCATTCCCAAGAAACAGCAAAAATGTATATAAATAAATAAATAAATAAATAAATATATATATATATATATATTTTTTTTTTCTTTTTGTTTAGTTAGTTATATTTATATTTACATATTTTTTGTTTTTTGTTTCTTTGATTTTTGCTAGGCTTCCACGTTCAGTGTAGGTCCTGGACGAGGCCCAGGACTGCACAGACTGCATGCTGGCTGCGCTGAGCTGCGACCAGGTCGCATGCGTGATGGCGTGCGACCCGCACCAGAACATCTATCAGTTCAAGGCCGACACTAGGTTGGCTTTTCGGTAATTTTATGCTTTCCTTATTTGGGTTCATAAAGGACCCTACATACAAATGCTTTTGAACAGGGGTTATTGAGTTAATGGCCAACCCAGGTCAACGGGAGTCGAACAGGGGTTATTGAGTTAATGGCCAACCCAGGTCAACGGGAGTCGTCTTCGAGAGATGCAGGTGCATCATCGGATGAACCTGCAGCAGAGCTTTCGGTTCGGCGAAACAATTGCAGCTTTCTTGACAACGATTGCCCGGAGTCTTAGTAGCTGAATGAGTACACTTTACAATTTTCGGATACTATAATCCCCTATAGAACTGAAAGTTTACACTTTTTGGGGCTCATGGACTCAGCAACTAAGGAGTAGCCCGCCGCCTGTTGACTTGGGGTTCGCAGTGCGCGGAATGCCCGGCGTGGAAACAGGTCTTTGCTTGAACGCCGAGCCCATGGCATCAATCACACAGCTGCTGCTCGAGGGTAAGAAGGCAACGGTTCTGGCCAGGAAGAACAGCACGCTCTTCATGCAGGCCATGCGCGTTCTGACAGACTTGGCTGATGAGAAGTCGGCTGCCTTCATTGGCGGCTTCGAGTCCTTCATTGAGTCGCAGCTCCTGCCTGTCCTGGACCTTCTCTACCTGAGCGAGGGCCGCGCGACCGACATCCAGTCAAAGTATGTAAAAGCCTTCTCGTCCTTTGGCTTCTTGAGGCGGGTGTGTGAGGAGAGAGAGGACATGAACTGGCTGCCAAAAATTAGCCTCTACGACGCCTTGACCCAGAAGAGGCTGCGGTCTGAAGATGTCGAGGAGCAGCAGCCCCAAAACACATAATTATCAAAAGCCCTACATACATCGGTATAGAACACCTCTATATATATATATATGTATATATATATATGCACGTATGTAGACATGTAGATATATGAATGTATATGGGTAGCTGTGTAAATTAGGTCCCTTTTGGGTCCTGATGTTCAGGGTGCCGTACAAAATAGGGGACCCACAAGGGGACCCTAATTGAGAGAACTACCCATATGAATGCACCCTAAACCCCAATCCCTCAACCCTACACCTCAACCCCAAACCCTACACATAGGGTTTAGGGTTTAGGGTTTCGGGTTTAGGGTTTAGGGTTTAGGGTTTAGGAATATAAACCCTACCCACAGACCTATGAAAACCCTACGAAAGCAACTCCCAGGAGCTGATCGACCGGTTCTCCGAGCGGATCTCCATGGAGCATCGCCACGCAGATGCTAGGATGCCGAGTCGTACCCTTCTTCTCTTGTTTTTTTCCGAGGGGTTTAGGGTTTAGGGCTTAGGGTTTAGGGTTTAGGGTTTAGGGTTTAGGTTTTAGGGTTTAGGGTTTAGGGTTTAGGTTACCCACGTACATACTTGGGCCCTAAAGCTACTTTGTAGGAACACCTTTAAATTTAAGGCCAAGTATCTACAGGGAGCCTTATTCCCTTTATGTACCTTTGGGATCTCTGTGTAAACCTCGTCTTTGAGCCTTGACTGAAACCTTAACCCCCAAACCCCAAACCCCAAACCCCAAGCCCCAAGCCCCAAGCCCCAAGCCCTAAGCCCCAAGCCCCAACAAAAATGGGAACCTTCTTTAGCTTACGTGGCAGCCGAGGATGTTGTCTTCTCGACGGTCCATCAGGCGAAGGGCCTGGGCTTCGAAAACGTGGTGCCTTGGATGCTGCTGAGGAACTGCTCGGCAGCCCAGTGGTGCCCTTTTTTTTTGGGGGGGTTTTTTGCTTTTTGCGCTTCTCGGCTTCCTTATAGAGTGGCCATCCCCCAAAAAAGGGTACCCTTATTATAATATGGTTGCTGGGGCTACCAGGACTGCAAAACAGGTTGCTGCAATGACGAAGCTACAGCTTGCTTTCTTTCTTGATGACTTTACAGATATGTACTTCGTAGTTATGTCACATGTCCATATCAGGGCCTGTTAAGTTAAGCGCCCTCACGGCATTTACTAACAGTTACGAACAAGCAAGGTGCTGCTGGATGACTTCTTGGAGGCCTACACCACGGAGGAATACAACATCTTCTACGTCGCGTGCTCGCGCGTCTCCACCGGCACCCTCTTCGTGAGCGAAGCAACGATCAGCCAGCTCGAGTCTGGGCGCAGAGGTCGGAAGCGGCCTCGGCTAGAGGATGACGTCGACTTCGAGGCCATGTACGAGGGGGAGCTGTGGTCTCCAGGGTACTCTCCGGGCCTGGAGGATGGATTTTCTT